ATTAATTTTTCATTATCATCGCAGAACCAAACATCTACGAGAATTTGAGTGTACAGGTGCGATACTGAGCAATTAAGAGACGCAACAGTGTTCATATACATGACACACGCACCAAGGCCGCAACGAACTTGCTATTGATGACGATGGCAGTGCCATTTGTTAATCTCCCGAGTAGTTTATGCAACCACAAGTCCACGACTTCTTTCTCAACACAACGCTATTTAGTTTTTGAAAACAAAAATATTTATTTGCAAAACATTTACTTCAAGTTTTACAACTTTATAGGGTTGTTTTTTTAGAGCTCACAGCAGATAATATATAAACAATGAACGCAGTTACTGTAAAATGGTGTCGCTGTGCATAGCCTCCGAGATTGCAAACGTGCAATTATGGGTGTAAAGCGGCCATTTTAGAGGTCATGCACTGTTTCACCATATTCGCGTTGGTTAGGCTAGGTGGCGTTAGCCGCCGCCCAATTTAAAGGGTACAGCCATATCAATCCATTCAATCATCCATCTATCTCATCATTATGGCTACAATCATCTAGCCATAATGGCAGTCAGCGACCACCATGGCGACGACCACCTTCCTCCGTGGCGACCACAGTACAATACACCTTAAGCACGCGAGGTGTTCTGTAGGGTCACTACCTCGCGCTGTGATCTCGCGGCACATGTTATAGTTTTCGGCAAAATCTGCGCCACATGCTTAACAATCAAGGCACAGCAAGCAGGTTGTGAATGTGAAGCCTTGGTCGATGTAATCGATCTTTACCCGTTCATTTATTATCAGTCCCGCAGCCTTATTTTGCATGGACACCATCAAGCGCGCTATTTGAAGTTTGTGTCAAGTTCGATGAGAGATGGATTGAAATCAACCCCAGCCTCGATCAAAAAGAAAAAAAATGCTATTTGGAGCCTGGATCACAATATGTAGTACCTCGGACAAGGAGCGGTGGAGGCGCAGTCAGCCGATAAAGCGGTGGAGGCGCAGTCGGCCAACCAGCTACATTCAGCAAGAGCATTCCTCAGTCTTTGCTGGTAATTGATGTTCTGGAGTAGCGGCATTCGACACGCGAAGTCTGAGTGATGCACATGGTGACAGCAATGAAAATCCTGATCCCGACGACACTTACGGCTTCGAGGAAAACTCGCTCAGCGATTCCGACCGGACTACAGATGCAACTCGCGACACAGTTGGCATGAGCGACAATGTTGGCATGAGCGACACTTTTTAAATGCAACAATGGCATGTATTTTACGCTGGTGCATGTCAATAAACTGCCAGGCTTTGTGTGTGTGCTCATGTGTGTGAGGCTTACATCAAAACTATTCAAGAACACATCTCACATTGGTATTTGCTCAGAAACAGAGAAAAAAGTTGTGCTTTTGCCGAAGGATGTAGACAGTGTGTTTGCACATGAAAGTTGGATGTGTTTGCTATGTTGCTGATGTACCAAACTTGTTTAAAACTTGTGACATATTTAGCCAGTCTAATATGAGTTTAGCAAGGTAGGACAGCTAAATGTTGGCTTGATCCTTTCTATTGTTCTCTTCACAACTAAACTTATCTCATGGTAGGCAGTTTCTTGTGTGTGTGTGTGTGTGTTTTGCAGTCAAATGCTTTAGCCTTAATTAGTACATGCTTTTTGATTTATCAATCTTGTGAGGATTACAGGCAAGTATTAAACAGGTCTGTGCCACCGCTTGGGCTTTGTGAAAAGACACACCTGTGAATAAAAGATGCTGCTATCAACATATCAGCCAAATCTTGCAGCTGCAAGTGGCTTTTTTCATATAAATGACTGTGCTCACTTCGAATTTTCGGATGCCTGTATGTGGTGTAAAACAACTGAAAGCATGCTACTGGCCTATAGCCAAAATAAATCGAGAGCAGCATTTTAATCGATTGTGCTTTTTGCCACAGTGTCCTGCCACATGCTGGCACTGCTGTCCAAAATCTTCTAACATTGCATATTCACACTCACGTATGGGAATGGCTACACGAAAAAGCTACTGTGTTTCTTCAAGCATGCTCTAGCTCATAATGTGTGCTGACATATCGCACTTCTTTACTGCCATGCCTCCCTGTAGTTTGCAGCACAGCTTGTTGGGACCGAGGAGAAAAAAAAGAAAGCGGTTGAAGTGCGCGATAAACCCCTCAACTTGCTTTGAAATATTTCTGGAAGTGGGATTTGCGAGGCATTAGATCTCATCTAGTACGGATTATGACACTTATGTAGTGGCTCGTCATTAAAGGCAAAGCACGATGTGGGAGAGACAGCTGGTGTTGGCTTGTGTTGTGAAAGGGAGAAACTGCAGCACTACCGGAGGCTTTCGAATCCATGCCATTTCGAAAAATTATTGTATCAGCATGCTCATTTCACAGTAGTGGACTGATTATTAAGTTATCTCCCTTGGAATGTTTACTGGCCCTATAACTTAAAATTTAGAAATTATGTTAATATTGCTCTGTGATGAGAAGTTTTGTTTGTATTGTTTCAAGTTATGTTTATACTATTACCTGATAAGTTTTGAATACCAGTATCTTGAAATTTCTAGATATCTTCTATCATTGTCAGCATTAACTGTGTTGCTATCTGGCACCTGCAACCCCATTTGTACACAGAATAAAGTGTTCATCTAGGCTGAAAGCTGCTTTGCATATTTAAAGCTCAGTTTGTCAAGTACGCACCACCATGAAACATTGTACATTTTATTCTACGCATCCAAAAGCTGCCAGTTGCACTCTTTGAGTCATCATAATATTTCACACAATGGTCGTCAAGTGTTCGATAGAAAACACTGATACACTAATATACATGCAGAAGTGACCAATCACATATATGTGGGCAGTGTGTTCAAAAAAAGAGCTACTGTTGAAATGACAGTAATGCATCTTATGAAGATCCGATAAATGAACAAAAGACTAAAAACCTATAGACTAATATATGCCATATAAATGACCAATCAAACTTATTCAAAAGCTGGTAGCACTGGTAAGGCTGTGTATCAGTCTGATCTGAGACTGGTGGTACTGGTAAGAAAACGTGTCAGACTGATATGGATGTCTATAAGAACTGGTAAGACTTTGTATCAGTCTGGTAAAAGACTGGTACAACTTATAGAAAACTGTATCAGACTGATTCAGACCTCTATCAGAATTTTTGCTAGGGATATTAATACACAAAAGTAAGCTTGATGAACAGGCTCATTCTGATGAACATTTGATGAACGATTCTGATGAACAGGCTCACTAACCACATTATGTGCCAAGAAAGCCCTTGGCGTCCATGTTAAATATCACAGGTATTTTTCAAAATTTTTTGTTTTGTTTTAATTATTGAGAAGGGCAAACAACTAAGGGAAATGCGAACTTTAAAAAAAAAAGATTGGAAGCGTTTGCTACCACCTCGCCCATATTTTGCTTGTAGGCCATGCCCTTTTCTGTCACACTGTCCAGGCATTGGCCAATGATAACTGAAGTCGATGGGAGTCCAAGCTGTTTCCAATGATCGATCATCGACCACTGCTGGTAGGGTTAGCCACTGGGCCACCCCGGCAGGGCCCTTCACCCTACTCCTCATCATTCGCTCCATGGATATGCTGTGATTTTTTTTCATAAACATGGGCTTCTTTCAATTCGCACACTTTTCTATTGTGCAAAGGTGAGTAAGAGTTCGTCAAAAGAGACCAACTTCTTCAATAACTATAAAAAAAGAAAACATTGCGAAGAAGGTATAAAGGCATGAACAAATCATGACCAGCAGTGTATCGCTATTTGAAAAAGCAAACAGATCCACTAGCCCAGATCTCCAATACCTGCCAAAGGCTGGGGAAAGAATTGGAAGCTTGAGAGGAAGTTAACAACAACCTAATGAAGTGATGTGCGTCACAGTCTAAAGTATCCAGTTGGTTCATGTTGCTCTGGTGTTGTTGGGACATGTTTATCGCTTGCATAGAAAGTGTACTAACATGCCAGCATTATCGAGAAACAGTAAATATGAGATTCATCAGGTAAGGAAATTGATTGCGTGGGATGTGGAGGTTAGCGACAAGGCAAAAGCAAGTGGAACTCGACAGGAGTGGTCTTGATCCGGTAGTAGACATAGCATAGTTTATAATAATTGGGGTGCAGATAATAATAACAATGCTTCTGCCGTATAGAAGTGACAGGGTGGTAGCTTTGAAAACTGCACGCGTTTCGAGTACATGCACAGTACTCGGAATCGGCGATGGTGCATTCAGTGGCGTTTGTAACAATGGCTTCGAGTGAAAACCTAATTGTTTGCCTATGTACAGCAGTCATGTGGGTAGGAAAACCTGCCAGTGACATTTTTAGTTGAGCAACAAACCTGTGTTTAATGAAAGCATTGCTCCTGGTCACCAAACTAAATGAATATTCACATACCTTTGTAAAAAAATATAGCCTAATCTACGTCAAATAAATGCACATGGCCACATCACTGCAGATTGAGTTTATTGTCAAGTGGTCACACAAAATACTGTTTTTTTAATCAGGCTTAGCTCTACTCTGAATTTAGCTCTGTCTTTTAGATTTGTGCACTGGCACGCACAAATAATACTGCTTTTCACCTGAGAGTTTTGAGCATAACAAAATTCAAATACTTCACCTGTGTCTGTGAAACATAAAAAATTCTTTGGAGCAAGTAGAATTAGCTGGTGGAAGTCTTGAAATGGACGTCACATGACGTCGTTTTTAAGCTAAAAATTTACCAGTACCAAAGCACAGAAAAACCATGCTGGGTGGAAAAACGCTGATGCCTTCGATTCTAGAGGAAGTGCCAAACATTGTACGGTGCAAAAATTTTTCGGCAGGGAATTATAGAATGGCTGCAAGAGCAGCAATGCAAACAAATTTGAACAAAAATTATGTAATGGCTTTTGCCTTTCAGTGAACTTGGACAATACCAGATCCTATAACTTTTTACAGTTCTTTTTCCCACTGATTTATTAGATTCGCTATGATTTGTATCGCAGGTACACCATCGCACAACCACAGCCCATTGCATAGCTCTGGCGTGTTTATAACGTGGCACCACGTGGGAAGCAGCAAGGCCAAGGCTAGTCCGGCCAAGGTAGTACGCGCGCTGTCGTCAGCCCTCCTGGTGATTGTGTGCGAGGCCTTCTGCCGTGTGTTCGTCGTGCTTCCTGCACGTGCCGTTTCTTGCCTAAGTCGCATCCCAAGCAGCCTGCGTCGCCTCTTCGTCTTCCAGCTGCTCGCCTGGATGGCCTTGTTTGCGCACTATGTCTACTTCACAGACTTCACGGGTGAGGTAATCCAATTGCACTTGATCCAAACTATCTCTTCTTTTCACTCTGTTCTTCTCATCTAATAAATATTTTCTTCTGTGCACTGTTATTGTCACGTGATTGTGAAGGTGAACAACTTTGCAGACAAGGAGTTAAAAACAACCCACGAAACACAAGAAAAGCTAAAAAACTTCTAGTAAACATCCAAAAAGGATAGTCCAAAAGTATATAAGAAGTCTTGTTGAGATGTTATTTAAATGTAAGCAGCTTGAAAACCTCCTGTAGCTGTGCTAACGTCACATTATTATACGGCTAGAAAACTTCTAGCAAGAATTCTAAATAACATGTTTCTAGATTTTTTAGAGAACCTTTGTAAACGTTTACTATACTTATACTATTAGAAGCCTTGTAAACTTCTTGCCAAGATTCTAAAAAGGCTTTTGCTAGATCTTTTAGCACCTTTTTTAGACATTTATTTTTCATGCAAATCAGCTTGTTGAGCGTTTCCTGTGGTTAATTTGTTGCATCATGTCAGCATTTTACAATCGGTGCATAGTTAGCGGTTCACTGTTCAAAGTGACAAGTAGGGACAGCAATATAATTTGGAATGAAATTATTGCTGGCACTATTCTAACCACCAAAATTGGTGCCATATTTGTTGAAAGAATTAGTGACTGCCATCTGTCACTACGATAATCTGTTTTGCTTGGAGACAAGACGGGTTTTTAAACGTCAACTCATTACTGTTACTGGTGTTGCTTGGAATGAATCATACTGGACATCCAAAAGTAAATGCAAGATTTCAACAAATCCTGTAGCATACTTGTAACCTTTATTATACATAACGATGCACACTTTGTCCCAAAACTTGCATGCTTTATAGTAACTATAATAACACAAAGCAAGAGAGGGGCTGGCCAGATACTTGGTCCAGGAACCTGCACACATAAAAAGGCACAAACTGTTCTCTTTGAGCAGACTTCTATCAGTGCAACGAAAATTAGCTGGCTAGCTTAGCAAACACATTGACCCAGTAGTAAATATATAAAGGTGGACCATTTGTTACAGCCAAAAAGCAGCAGTCGAACAATTGATTTTTTTTTTCTCGACCAGTGCACCTAAATTTAGGTATGTTAGAGCCATGAGTAGTCGAAATTAATAGGTTTCGCCACAAATCTGTGTTTAGCAATGAAATTGTGGTTTTGGCTACACCCCAAACTCTAATTCCATTCCAAAATACTCACACAAATGACACGGTGAAGTAAAAAATGCTATAGTATTTCAGAATGCTTTCTGTCAGTCATCATTAACAATGTCGAACATGGTAAGGTATCTGTGTAATATATCACTGATGGTTATGTATTGGCAACGTTGGGTATGATTAAGTATGACAGTAGAAAATTACTTGATTGCACTTATGCCATCAAATTCACGAAGACAATGAGCTAAGGTTATAAAAACATTACAATAAAGTATTCAGTCAATAATACAATGAAAATAAAACTATTGATCAGCTACAGTTTTATTGCAATGCAAAAAGTTCAATTTAGGTGACTAACTGCAGATTACACAAAAATTAAACATGACATAAATCCTTAAGAAGCAGCACTGACACATTTAGAGACGTGCTTTGTGCTTGCAATAAAATTGAGCCCTAAGAAGAAAAAACTCCATTTGCAGATAACTTATGTGTCCAGGAGAACACAAAGTAAGACAATAATGCGGTCAGCTGCCCAATCAACTAAGAATACCGAAATTTTGGTGCCTACAATAAGTGGGTATGTTTGTATAGAAAAGTTTGTGGCGGTCGTGTTTCTACACACTCCTGTTTGGAAAAATTCTTCGAGCATGTCTATGCTCTGAGATATTCCACTCAGAAGTTTATTGTGCTTTTCACGATTACGCGTGCAAGGCAGTGAAGGTCAGCAAAACATTACTCCCTGGTGGTACGAGCAGTCAGTGCTTGCAATCACTAGCTGGTAGTAAAAAGGTAACCATTATAATGCTTGTCTATATCGTCGACCCATGGTCAGATTATATGCGGCACTTCAGGGACTAAGTAGTAGCTGTATGCTAGTGCTCACTGTCTTGCATGCATAATGAGGCAAGCCACAAGTAAACTTTCCAGTGGGATATCTGAGCACAGGCATGCCAGAATTCTTTGGACCTATGTATAAATGTGACTGGCTCAAATTTTTATTACGTGCATGGCCACCAGCAGCAGTCACTAATAAGTTCATTATTGAATCTCATTCAAGGGCACGGCTGACTGATAATTATTGTTGCACATTGTGTTCCCCTGAACACTAAGCTAACTGCAAAGGTGGCTTTACACACACAACTTACAGCACTTACTTTCTTAAAGAAAAACAAAAGGCTTAATATTGAACATCCCGAACATGCGAGCTACTTGAATACAGCAAACAGGTGCCTCAGTCAAGTTCCCTTTCCATAGGAAACAGAAGCCATGTGTAGCTGCTGTACATTCAGTAGCCAACTTTTCCACGAGCCACCATTAATGACAGGCTTGTCCAGAATTCTTTCACACTCAGTTCGTATGAAGTGCATGCATAGGCTGCGATGAAAACACCGAAAAAACAATTTAGTGACATGAGTGACATGTGTCTCTCAGCAAAATTGAATTTGTCAGTATATTTAAGATGATTTGGAACAATGTGTCTTAAAACAAGCAGAATGTACACAAATTAGAGATGTTACAAGCAAAACTTTCTTGATGTTCTTGGCGAACACAGTTGCAACCTTACGAAAGAACATGGAATTTCCACATTGTAGGTGTGTAAAAACCATACTTTAATTGCCCTAGTGCATAGTGCATTGAAAGGAAATTCAATGATACCACAACACATACATGATAGTATGCACTTTCATCAAGTATCCATTGCAGGTAACCTATAATATTGAATATGAATTTGATTTCAAATACAACTAATGCAGCTTTCTTCAGGCTGCTCACACAGGGACGATAATACCTATTGTGTCAGAAATTGGTGTCACTAAATTACTATTGTGTGCTGCCAAATTATAGTCATCAGTTTCAATTATTCTGGTCGGTTAAAATGGCAGTACCGCTCACTCAAGCAGAACAGGCTGTCTAATGAAAAAAAAAAAAAACCTAGGAGGCACCCAGCTTCAGTCATACACCATCCTATTAAAGCATGCAAGCTTCTGCTTCAATATCCGGGAACCAGAATCTTAGAAGCTATTGACCCCAATTTAGCAATAGGATTTGATGAAACTGATTTCCGAATTCGTATAAGTCCTTCAGTGCCAATAGCTTGAAACCTTGCAATCTATATCTATTAATCTCAAATAAATACGGCGTCCAACTTTACATTTTAACAGCAATACGTGCATGACTTATGCATGCTTACTGTGATTTATAACATGACGAGTTTTGAGTGATAAATAAAATATTCATTCTGCGCATACCACAGATTCCGTCAACATCTGTAGTGCATGCCTAGAAAGTTTACTTTATCCAGTATACTGTTAAGCTTGTCATTAACCAGAAAATTTCATTGGAGGTTGTGCTATAAACTATTCTTAATGTTCATACACATAAAAGTGTTTAGCAAAGTTTCAACAGCAAGGTTGGGCGATGTGCATAAAATATTTAATAAACCACACAAAATACAAACATAGTGGAAACAAGCAGAATAATATCGATGGTGCTGGAACGCATGGACTAATGACTGAATTGGTGTGCAAACAGTAAGGTACAGCAATATGGCCACATTTAGCCATGAAATATATTCGTTCTAAAATACAGGTCAGGGTAAACTGATGGCTTAAAATGCACGGATTCAGGCCGCATGAGGCAACCTATGTTGCTGGTGTATACCGAAGGTGGGAATTTTACTAAACAAGCTGCATGAACATTTATATGTAACTGCAGACTTTGTGAGCACTACTTAAGAGGATGCAACACGCTGCATATGAACACGCATCAACTCGAGTATCACGGTAGTTTATGAAGACGCGGGTCGGCGCGGATGCACACACTGGCATACTTCGTCCACTTGCAAGAAAAAAACTTCTCTGATAGTAGTCATAACGTATAACGATACTGTTGCTGTTTAAAATGAAACGTACAGCAGATGAAACTGCTGTAGACGCGTTCACTTCAATAGTGCACAATATGAACAGGTTCACGTGCCCTAGGCATGATCAACGCCTAGAGCTAACAAACCCCCAAGAATTAATAAACAAAAATAGTGCTCACTCGTGAGCAGGGCCCCCCTCCAACACCACTTCCGACAGGGGCAGACAGTCATCACAACTCTTATCGAATCTGCCACCGAATTCCGGCTTCGCATGCATGCTTCATACTCCACACAAAAGGAAAAACTTGTCCACGCTTGACTTTGCACAACTTTGCTTTTACACTGCTGAAGTACTACAGAAAAGCTGGGTCCCCTCATAAACAAACGCTCACTTATAGTGCACATGGTACGAAAAAGGTGGTGAACACAGTGATAACGAAGCGCTGACAGCAGCAACGTGGTACATACCAGGCGAGTGCTCCGCGATACGAACCCACACGTCTTCGCTTGAGTATAGCGCATCTTCGTAATCAGCAGCACTGGCAGAGCGCAAAACACGAACACAAAGCGCAAGCACATTTTTAAACACGAGAGAAATCGACTCAAACTCGCTCCTTCGAGAGGCGACTGAGCAGCGGGTAAACACGTCCAGACAAGTAAAATTGTTCTAGCCACGCAGGCGCACACCGCATTTGCCAATCTTAATTTGCAGATGCTGCCTAGAGATCTTATTACATTTAAATATGTAAGAATATATAAAAATATACTCTACATAAATATGTAAAGCTAATAATATTTTGATTTGAAACCAGAAAGAAACGTAGAAAACACCCTGCATACATTGCATGGACAATCGAGACTTCATCCGCAAATTCTACCAAAAGTTTTAGAAGATAACTTTTAGTAAACGTTTTGAAAAAGACTTCTTGTAAAGAACGTTTTCTCAACGTCTTCTAAAAAACTTCCTGTGAAAAACGTTTATTTAACGTCATATAATATATATTGAGATGTCCGCATACCTTTCTAGTCATTTCGAGAAGTTTATACGACGTTTCGTTTTTCTTGGGAAGATGCTTGATTGGAAGAGCTTGAGTCCGGAAATGGAAAACTCGATAGAAGGAACTCAAGCTGCACACAGGCAGCGGCGAGCATGGGTGTCGGTCGTCGGCAACCTGCCTCTCAATATGGCACAAATTTCGTTTTATAAATATTTTTTAGAAAATTCTGGCTCGCGTCAGAACCAGAATAGACTCGACTACAGGTGTTGTGCACGCAATGTCATCAGAATAGTAAAAAGCAATCGACGATTTTCTGACGTTTAGTAGCGCAGCTCACACGGGGCGGTGGTGGCAACCTTGAGGGTGAAACCCCATCTCATCGAAATATGGGCACATGGCAATGTAAAAACATGGCAATGTTTTTTGAATGGTAATTCTTTTTTGCTCAACAGATTATAAGCTGCTCAATAGATTATCTACATAGGTTGGTGAGGCGATTCTCTCAGATCGATGCACGAGTGTGAGCAAATCCGGCTGAGCAATATTTTAGTGAGTTTAAGTCTGAGTGTGTGCAGCTATGAAAAATTTTGGGAAGTTCGAGTCCGAATGAATCGAAATCTCAAGGTATATTTATTCAGTTTGCCTGAGTGAGTTAGACTTTCGTTTGCTGATCTAAGCTTGTCCGGCATCACGAATTGTGCCGAAATGATGTGGGAATTATCAAAGCACATCGAAAACAAGGCTTGCTGGTCGAGGTGGTTTCTCACTATCAAAATGGACAGCCCATTGTTTGCTTTTTTTAAGTCGCAATAAGCATCTTTTTGTACCGCTCAGGTTTTCATACACCTTGCTGATTTTTGAACAGTGAGCTGAAAGTGTAAGTGCCTTTCCAACATAAGAATAAAGCAATGACATAGCACTTTCGATACAGTCTACTGAAGGCATGGCTTGTCACGTATTCCATGCCAGAAATGGAATACTTAATTTACCAGCCTATCTTTTGCTCTGAAAAAATGAAACACCGTAATATTTTTCGTTGCCCCATTTTGCAATTCACGTAGACTGTTCGCATGAGCTAATATTGGGTTGAGCTGTTAATAACTTCTCGCGTGTACCCGCAAGTGCTCCTCTGAGAACCTTTCCTAACCTCTTTCAAGTCTCGAGTTGGCTTGGCCCGTGCGCTCTGTTCATATGGCACGTAAAGCTGCTTGCCTTGCAGTGCTTTGGTCAGTCCACTTCATGCGCAGTGACTATTACGTCTGATATGTCCATCGCCGTTCATTGAACGCCGATTCACAAGTTCAATTAAGTGCAATGCAAAAAAAGCACAGTCGGCGTAGTCGTCGATGTAGTGGCCCACACAAGGTACAATGATGATCGGGTTATTTTGCGTGTGACACGCTGAGAAATCGAGAGAAAGCTTGCATGCATGGTACGTGTGTTTGAGTGTACCTGTGTGGTGTGTGGGGGGGGGGGGCGGAGGTGGCCTGAGGTTGAACATGCGGAACAAGGATCAGGGTGAGGTAAGGGCAGCGGGGCGGGAGTGGAGAGAAGACGTTTTTTCTTAACGTCGTGTATCGTGGCATCGTCTGCTCTGCAAATATGTTGAAGGGACACTAAAGAGAAACAGTGAGTTGTTTTAGATTGATAAACTGCACTCCAAAAACCCTAATGTCATAACTTTCACTGTTGTGTAAGTTCATTATTAGCGGAGAAAATCAAGATTGAATTTTCATTTTTAAAATTCGCACAGTAACTACTGTGCGTGACGTGAGAAATTCAAAAATGTATTTTCATATTTTCACAACATTGGCTCGATGAAATTTTCTGAGACTTCGTATTTGAGCTAAGTTGATGATACTCACACTATAATGTACTTCAATGTTATCAATTAGAAGCTACATGGAACTCAGTAGGTGCCTTCAAAAATTGATGTCACAGCGTTTGGTGCAGAAATCTCAAGGTAACGTCTCAACCTGCAGTTTCTTTTTGCGTGTTTTCTGGCTTACCAAGTGTCATGTAGCGGTAAGAGTGACGTTTTCGGGAATGCGAAATTGTGATTGACTAATACGTGAAAAAGTATTTCGATCTTCACTGTGCCTTTAAAAATGACGTGCGCGACCTATCTTGCAAGTAATCTGTGGTAGCCCCTGGGCTTTACAGTAACAGCTGCCTGTAAGTAGCGTCGTGCCACAACGGCCATTATTACCGCATGTCCTTGCATCTATAGCACAGCGGCTTGTGTTATTTCGAAGAGAGAAGGAACACCATACGTTTTCTCAATTTTCTTGCCAACCTCGATCCCACCAGCGCTGAGAAAGCCAGTGTAGTCTGTCTTTGAGAGGCATGTATGCCTGTGTGCGTAAACACTGTGCTTGTCAACTTAGTTATTGCGATAACGCGTACTAGAACTTGTTATGTCAGTAAGGGCATAGACATTTGCACAGATGTTAAATGTATTGCCATTGCCATTACAGCTTGATCGTTCGGCTTAAAATATGGCCTATATTTATTTTGCCGGACACATGTTAATGAATTGCTATGTCAAGAATAACATGATGCTATATGCATACGAAACTAAGTACAAGGCATACGTCGCACGTTGGAACACGAATGACATGCATGACACTGGTGTTATGAATAACGAAGACTTGTTTGGTGTATAATAATGTTAACACTCTCTTGAGATTTTAAGCGCTTATCGAAAGCAATCTTCCTGTGCCATGCACCTGAAGTAGCCATAGGAATGATGTATCTGGCAGTGGACTCCTCAAGGGAGGTTGGCTGACTCTAAATTAAAAAAGCAAACAAAAAAAACAAGAATAATACTTTGTTGCGTCAGTATACGGTACATGTTTGACATTTCACTAAGGGGCATATTCTTTTCGTCCAGGTGGTTTATCATGGAAGGCCCGAAGAGACTGCCAGTAATGACGACCGTTCCCGCTATGATCGTGGTGTTCGAGCTGGCTCTTGGGGACTGCTAGTCAACTGCATTGCCTGTAAGTCACTTCTTTTGTACACATAAAGAGTGGACCATGAGTTTAATATTGATGAAAGGCAGTGCCTGAAGTACAAACAATCTAGAATAATAATGCCTAGAGGTTTAATTGAGTATATAAGCAGCTAGTGTCATATTTTCTTGCAACTGCAAAGAAAGCAAAGCAACGAGACTTGAATAATTCCCCAGGGACCTGAATTTAAGCTTCCATAGTGCGACTTTTTGTGTAAAAATGTATAAGAGATCAGCGACATCTCAATGACTCATAGTTAAGGGGAGATGCTACTCGAAAAAGGTTTTTTTTTATTTCATAACCCAGCTCCTTGAAATTTTAGGTGTTAGTAAAGCTTGCAGTGCTGATTTCATAACTGCAATTATTTGTTTGATAGCTATAGTACTTCCGGAGTTACTACAACTTTGATATCAAAATATAGTGTTTTTTGTGCACATAATAAAGCTTACTAAAAATTTTCACACAGAATTGCAAAATGGCTCATTCTGCTGCACTTGAGCAGTACAATACAGAAAAGTACCTCAAACAGAAAATTTATTTGCTACATTAAAAAAAAAAATTAAAAGTACTAAATGCATATTTTACATCTCTCTATCAGTGTATCAAGTTGTGTAACAAAAAATCTGTGATGTATAATGCAACCTAAAGTAGATACTTGATTCTAGAGTGGCTGATTAAGCTCTGTGCGAAATTTCATCAAGATAGGACTATTTTATGCCTAAAAAAGATTGTGCACAAGATGAGAGAATTACCTCAAAATGGAAATCGAGAAAAATGCATTTGAAAGTTGTAAATATGTTTACTCATGATTACACAGTGCGATTTGCACAAAACTTGGTGATATCATAGAAGGGACACAGCTAGAGCACCTAAAATTGTCCTGCTCCATATGTGGATCCTTCTCGCCGCTTGAGAAGGGAGTCATCAAGGCGCGCTTTCTTTGCCACGTTCCACCGATGGGCCCTTGCCTCGGCTGTTTCACACGCAGACATTCTTTCGATTCTCCTCTGGTCGCGGGATTGGCCCAGGGTGATCAGTTGATCTGGTGGGACTACACCAAGCTCCTCTAGCACGTGTTCAAAGCTTGAATGTCCTTTATTGAACCACAACACGGCCATAGCAGCTGCAGTTTCCACTGTTGTCCGGGAGGCAAACTTAGTCTTCGGACACAACAACCAGATTTTGCTGTTCAAAGATTCTGCAGCGTTTTGGGTCTTCCCTTGGATACAACGCACCAGCAACTTTTCATCTGTGAGCCGCTTGTAAATGGGAAGCACAGCCAATCCTTGAGCCTTGGTCAAGATTGGTGTGTGGTCGGGTGGGGCCTCCCCAAGCGCTTCAGCTCGCCTATGCTTGCACCAGGAAGTCGCCCCTTCTGGACAGTATCGGTGGCTGCCTGCTGTGTTGCTCGATGATGAATGGAAATATGAGGCCCAGATGGCACGATGCATTTTCAGAATATCACCTCTGTTGTTTGTGATTGCAATACGGTAATAGTTCTGCAGCTTCTGAATTGTGCCATCTGTCAGCTTTTCCCCTCGTGGAAGTCTTGTTGGCAGTTTCCGAAGTGCAGTGCCTAGACGCTTGGCCACATGGTTTGTGCACTCCTCCTTGTCCACAACAGCTTCACCATATACCTTGGCCTCAGCGACAGCGGTATAAGCTTTGCTGTCCCCATCACTGAGGAACTTGGTGAAGCGCAATGGTGTTGTGTATGAGGATGTCCTGCCCCATATGCGCAAAGCTGCCTCAGTCTCCATGGCATGAGAGGAGCACTCTGTATTTTTTTCGCAGACAGGTGTGTGGAATGCTTGCCATATTTCTTCCTCATCACCCAAGTCCTGGTGCCGGCTACAGGCAAGGCAGTAATTCGATAGCACTTCAAAATCTAGGCACAAACCAGTGTCCACAGACACAGCAGTGCCGATGCCATTGTGGCTCTTGTGCCCTCTTTTTTGCCATGTGCCATCATACATGACAGCAACATCAGCCCCATCCACTTTCTCTTTAGTTATCATCCGCGCTTTTGCCAGGTTTTCTTGCACAGCTTTGGTAGCTGCAGCATGAACTTTTTTGCCAATTGCAATAAAAGTCTTATGATGCATAGGTATTGGCAGTCCAAGAATAGCGCAAAAACGCGACAGCTGTTCATGCCCAATGCCTATTGCACGCGCAGCCACAACTACCTTCACATTGACAGCGAAGCTGTCACGCGAGCTGCCGCTTCGGTAGCTCCAGTCATCACCGGCATCGGTGGGCTGTCTTTCCGGCAGAACACGCCGCGAACTATGCGCGGCAGAAACCACTGACTCAGGACACTCACTGTTATCACAGTGCAGCTCGAGGAACGAAGAGAGGCCCTTACGTTTACTTGCGGTGTCGCGAACGACGAGTCCAGCGGTGTGGCATGTTGGACAAACAGCACGGCTTACCATCGATGTCAGTGCGCCGATGTCACAAAATACTCCGCTCACAGAGCCACAAACACTCTTCGTTCTTTCGCTTTCGAACTGTTCAATCTTTTTTTCTGATGCGCTGATGAACTTGATCGCGGCGTCGATTTCGTCAAAGTTCCCGCAAGCCGCCGTATCCCCGCTGCCTTGATTAGGCCTAGTGGCCCGCGGCTCGCATTCTTCTACCGCTGCTTTGCGCTTCGGTTTACGTCGACGCCCTTGGTACTTGTTCTTGCTTGCAAACTTTCGTGCTCGGAAGTCTCGCTTCTTCGAGTTATCCATGGTGAACTCGGAAAAACGTAGAAACGCACGGCAAGTGCCGATCGTCGCAAGCGCTCAGCGAGCGAGGCCGATCAGATGTAGCCAATGGCGGCCTCGGTAGCGTACCATGTGACCGGTAGAGATGCGCGAAGCGGCTGCAGCTTGGCTGCAAACCGACTTGGAAACGACTGTTTTGTGAAATTCCTCACTAAAATACGAAACTAGGGGGACGCCTGTACACTAGAAGGAGCCTTGATCTACACCACCGAACAAACCCCGATGGCGGACGTCATCGTGTTGCCGAGTGGCGGATTTTCAAAAATAGCCGTCGGATGCGTGAATTCGCGACTTCGGCAGCTACCTTCACTAGCGCAGATCGACTTTTTACCACTTTCTCGTTTGAATTCAGCTATGACCTTTGGGGAAATGATAGTTGAATGATCAAAAGTGATTTTAGAAGCAATATCTCAAAAGTGGAAATTTTCGCAAAAAACGCGATTTTTCGACCCGCATCTCCCCTTAAATGACGATTGCCGCTTTATGACATTTTTTGTCAGTTTTCCACCTCTGTTGATGAGCTACAGAAGAAAAAGTAAGCCTAAATATATAGGTCAGAGCTTGATATATTTCCTACTGTTTCAATGCTAGCAGCCAGATTTCGGTCTTTAAATGGTTTTTATTCTATCACTGACCACGTATGCAACGTCACATTGTAGGTGTCTATCATATAGTTGGTTCTTTTGTTTCTGTCGCAGCATCCGCGTACTCCCTGACCATCCAGTGGCGGGTGACGAGTCGTTTCGGCCAGCGATTCGGCCTACTGCTTGGCATGGGCACATTCGCCGCCGCGATGCCCGGCCTGCTTCTATTCACCGACTTGGCCAGCATGCTCTCACTGTCTGCCATGACGGGCATCGCGACTGCGGCCCTAGACTCCATTCCATATGCGCTCGCTTGCCTCTACTGCGAGAACAGTCAGGTAAGAAAGGGCCTGCAACAATAGGGCTTGCGTGCAAGAGTGCTGTGAACCTTGGGAAAAAAATCTTTTTGTCCTTGTTGGTGCAGCATGTTCAGGGACTTCAGCGCATCATTGAAGTGACAAATACGGGACATTTAGTAACACGCATGCACATAAATGTCCTCGAGGGCTTATCTTGAACAGTGATACTTCGGGAACTGGACCTTTGAATAGTATGTGCATGAAAAGTGTGCACACTCAGGCATGTGCAAATATGAAGGAATCAAAGAATGAGAATTCTTTTCTGCATAATGATAATGATCGCACGCTGACACATTCCTGGCCTTGCTCTTGTATGGTAGCCGATTTTATGATGAATCGCCCGATTTCATCTTCCTGCTCCCGCACAACCGAGTTCTTGTGATGCTGTCAGATCATGCTTCTCCTTGAGTACATGTTGAGTGTTCGCATGAGCTCTTTCTTGCTCATTATAAGTCTATGTAAACTATAATCTTATGTGCAGTGTTAATTATTTTTTAAAGCACTATGTACGGGCCGACGTTGTTGAACTGGGCATTATACACAATATGACTATTTCAGTGACGCCAACCACGGCGTCAAAAACTCGGAGAGTGTTTATGAAGTGCTATCGCCATAGAATCACTGCACGACAGATGATTCGCAAGGAGTCTGTGCACAAACCTGCCATTGCCATTCGTATTCTTGTTCTTCTAGAAGCCAAAGCACTTTTTCAAGTGCTTGAAATCGAGCGAAGCCTTCATTTCTAGTTTTTTTAAAAATAAAACCGGAATCACAAAACGTGATCATAAGCATGACCACGAAACTATGGCACCAGTTTTCTGCGTGCTTAATTTAACACTCAGGTTCTACTAAAGTACTCCTTGTAGCCGATAAGCCTCTTATTCGACCAAAGGCTCACTCTAGTTCGCTGTTGTTCACTGAGTGGCTCTTCATGCTCGCTTATGATAACATGACGTTACCAATAAATATCATAACATTAACTTTATTTTTCTTAAAGACCCCTCCAGGTGAATTACATAAAAGGTGGGTTAACATACAAAAAAGTTTTTATTGCCACAAGTATTTATCCTAAAAAATTGGCACATAATTGATCAAAAAATGATGTTGGGCATTCAGTGGTGACAACACCATGAGGAAGGCTGTTCCAGTCTTTCGCTGTCCGTACAAGGAAGGACATAGAAGAGGTGGTCGTCTTAATCTAGTGCTGGGCAACTTGAAGTGAATGACAAGTGCAGTGAAATATGCGGGCCGGTGGAATGATGTATGGATGACAAAGCGTGCTGTGAAAAAACTTATGAAAAAGGCTGAGACTAGATATGCAGCAGCAGATCTCAAGGCTAGAAATAGATGATTTTTTTTTGAGCAACGATACACTGGTCTTGTATGAGTATGAACAATGAATGATCCTGATGGCACGGCTTTGAACTGCCTCGAGTTAGTCTATCAGATAGGCTTGGTGTGGGCTCCAGACTGCAGATGCGTTTTCTAATTCAGACTGGATAAGGGAATTGTAGGCTTGTAGCTTGACCTTTTTAGGTGGGTGCCAGAGGTGACGTTTTTGGAAACCCAGGAATTTGTTCGCTGATGATATTATGTTAGAAATGTGCGCGCGCCAGTTCAGATCATTGCATATGATGACACTGAGATGCTTGTATGACTGCACGTGTTCAAGGGTAATGCTAGCAATTACTTAAGTGAACAGAAACGGGTTGTGGCGGCGGTGAAATGAAATGATCTTGCATTTGTTGGGATTAACTTTTATCAAAATTACTTAACATGTCCAGACAGATGATACACACTGAATGCACACCAGCCGCTGGTAGGTGTTCTTTTGGGTACAGGCTATCAGTCCTTTTGTTTAGATTTATTACAAAAGCAACTTGACCACAAGCATAATTTTATTATTATTCATTCTCTAGAAGTTCATAGAGACAACCTTTTTGTCACATTGATATCTCAGTGTCTCATTTCAGCCACCCTATTTTATTTCATCTTGTTTTATTTTTCATCTTTTCATTTTCTAAGGAGTATTTCAAGGGATCTCGGTACACGCCCGGTGTGGGACAGTGCCTAGCACTGCTGGCCACGGCTGAGTACTTGTCCCAAGTGATCCTCACGCCCCTCATGGGCTGCATCTTTTCGGCGACCCACACCGTGGCGTCTTACGTCGCCGTTGCCGTAGTGTGTGCTCTCGCGTCATGCTATGCATCCACGTTCATCGCATGTCCCTCTCCGAAGGACACCTCATGACGTCAGGAGCAATCAATTATGGCCACAAGAGCAGAAGGAACCGGGCCCGTCGCTCAGCCAGTGCCCCTGTCTCTACAGAAAGGCATCGACAGCTGCGCCGCACTATGAACAGCCCAGTGCTGACATCCTGTGTGTTGACCACTGACTCGAGACTGCACCAGAAAATGGAAAACAAGCAACCTTGGCGTCGAGTTCTCAGTGCACTTGTGCTCTTCCCGCGTGCTGTGCTCTATCTAGCCGTCCATTGGCAAAACTTTTGCACCCACCCGCTCGAGATCATGCAGCCGTTGCAGACAATATATGGTGTGTGACACGCAAATTAGTCTCACGGCCCAACGAAAGTGTCTGAATAACAGCGATAATTTTTCCAACAATGCTCAATATATGGATAGTAGCAAAGCCTAGTATTAAGACGTGCAATGTTCTGTGAAAGGTTTGTTGCTGTCGGCATCGCATGTGACATTATTTTGTGCAACATGCGTTTGGCATATTGGCCCAATGAAGGTGTGTTGAAGAACAATGCATGTTATTTCCAAAAATGCTCAACGTCCAATCAGCATTTATATAACACATTCCTTATGAAATTTTTCGAACTGACTTCTTAGTGGATATTGTATTCTCTAGCAACGTGAGCTTCCACTTTCCTGCGATGGTATTTTGCTACAGATGCAAATGCAGTTCTCAAAAACAGAGACACTGGGTATAAGTCTGTCTTCTGACAGCGGGAAGTCGTTGTGTGTATGCTGGATGACTGAAAAACGCTCATAAAAGATCATATGAATGTCTTTACAACTGAAGCTGGCTCAAGCAGCGGTACTCAAAACAGGACAGTGACGTTCTTGCTGGTGTACTATTACGCCCTCATGTTGAACTTTGATGCTGGAACCAGTCTTAGCTTGGAATGGACCAATAACGCTGAATACCATTTGCCTTCACCACACCATATTGCTTTGTCATCATCAGATGGCATTTTTCTTCTTTTGCATCGAGCCACGATCGCCTGAAAGTGCTCACTCTGTTATGGCCTCTGAACATTGCTTGTTGTTTCTCTCTAATATTAGTGTCAGCAACATACTTTGGAAACCATAATCTAGATTTTTTTCGAACTGGTGTGACAGTTTGAACGTGACTACATCTCTGCTCTGCGAAGGGCAAAAGATCAGAAACACACCCTGTGACACACTTGATAAATATTGTGTTGCAGATTTTCTTATATATTCAGATTGCATTGAGTATTAAGTTCGTGCATACAACGTAGAGCGTCTTAGCACCAGACGGCACATAAGCATAACCATGAACATTTTTATGGTTGCGACTGTTGTGCGCTTCTCTAGCTACTCAAATATAAAACCGAAATAAAGGTTTTGTAGAGACGGCGTTCTGCATTTAGATGCTCCTACACAAATATTTGCTTGAAGTATTGAACAGGCTTCAGGCAAGAAGTGTCTGTGATATTTGCCACTAGCTACCAAGCCTACTGTGCTCTTCGGCATCATATTCTCTTTCTTGTAATTTTCTTTTGCAAATACTTTGTCGAAGAAAGCCTTTTAGCAGGCTTTCAATGTTATTTTTGTTTCAGTGTTTTCGGTTAGATGTTTAAGATATACCAATGTGTGTGAAACTAAGTGCTCAACTGTATTTCTTGGTAAACACCAATAAAAGGTGCGCTGATGAACATACGTAAAGTGACATTGTGCGTGAACATTTCTTTCACACAGCTCTTGGTAAGTTGCGAATTTCAGCTCCGGTTGGTGGAACAATATGGGAATTTCCTTGGTCGAGCTGTTGTGAGTACATAATTACATCTCTAAACTTTAACTTTACTTCCGAAGGAGGTGGAAATGTTGTAGACCCGTGTGCTCAGACTTGGTTGCACCTTAAAGAGCCCCAGGTGGTCAAAATTTCCCGAGCTCTTCTCTACGGCGTCTCTGATAATCATATGGTGGTTTTGGGACGTTAAACTGCATATATCAATATATCAATACGCTTCAACTTTACTTATTATCTGCACTTTGTCATGAATTTATTAAAGTCGTACTCGTAGTATAACTCTCATCACATGTCTAAAGATTGTAATCTGCCTATGTCCTTGCATGACTAATATTCTCGCACAGAACTCGAGAACAAAATTTGACAGGCGAAATGGAGTTGACCTGAGATAGACTTCTTTGACAACGTAGTGAATGCCGTTGGAACAGATATATCATAGTCGGTAACATCATAAGAGCAAAGGTATGAGATAATGAAGGCATAGAAAATTTTGATAGCCTACCACTCTAAGAATTGGCAGATTCCACGAACGGTGGGAATCGATTATATGCAAAGCACGAATGGGGAAGGTTGTCACTTTAAAGTAAGCAAAAGCTTAAGAGGCAGAGGTAAATTATGTCGTACACGGCATTTTTGTCATGGTTATCATGTTTTGACGTGTTTTTACCTTCGTCATCTATTCACGTCATCTGATACCAAGTTTGATATATGTTGAGCTAAGGAAACAGCCGCGGGCGCATTATGAGTGCAGTAAGTTGTCATGTTTTTACATGACACACATGTCATGGTTATGTTTGAAACAGTCATATATCTTTGCATCTATCGACATCATGTAACACCAAAGTTCGTATATGTGGAGCTTGCAAAGCGGCCGCGAGCGCATGATGAGCGTGGCATGTAGCCATGTTGTTACATGAGACGCATCTCAAGATTAGCATACTTGCATCAGTCACCTACCTTTCCCAAGTAACCACGGATATCCGTCGGCTGTCCGCTATGAATCCAAAGGTCGAAAAATTCGGATATCCAGAGCGGACACAGCACGGACATTCGCTGGACGTACAAGGAAGGTCCATTGACGGGATGTACTAGGTGGCTTTCTGGTGGATATCCGAACAGGATTTCAGTCGGACAGCCAGTTGCGAATGTCCACTGGCTATCCATCAAAGGGCCCCAAAGAACACATGAGAATTGAAATTAGTTTTGGAGTACTGCAGTGCATGAGCATATCCTATGCTCGCAGTCATCAGAAATTTTCTAAATCTTGTGATAATAGTGGGGCCTTAATTGCGTGTGGTGATCCACAAGTGATCTGCTTTCAGATCTAGAGCTCATATCTCCTTGTATAGCGGCCGGAGTAGTGGCGAATGTGTGTATCTGTGAGCAGACAGTTTTCGTGGATGGCATGAGCTGACTCGCATGCCGATTCCCAGGCCAACACACACGCTGGGGAAACCAGAAAGCCCTTCAAGGATGAGGTATTGTTTTTTTAATTTTCACGGCATTCTGAACTGAATGCGATGGTTAGTTGAAACGTAAAGGTCGCGGGATCAAATCCCGGCGGCGGCGACTGCATTTCCGATGGAGGCAGAAATGTCGGCCCGTGTGGTCAGATTTGGGTCACGTTAAAGAACCCCAGGTGGTAGAAATTTCCGGAACCCACCACTACGTAGGCGTCTCTCATAATCATATGGTGGTTTTGGGACGTTAACCCCACATATCAATCCTATTTTGAAACGTAAAAAAATATAGCATCTAGTTCAGGGTTTTTTAAGGCATGTGCACTTTTTGTGAGGGTTAAAAATATATGTGCTCGTATAATTTATGTTGTATACTGTGCATTGCTTGTAGTATATCGTGCACTTATCTTACTAGTTTTTGTCAGTCGAAAGTGACCAACAGTTTTAAAAATAATTGTTCCATGAAATCAATTAAATTTTTTTATCCTGTTGGCCACTATAGCAAAAGATATACAATGAAACCATACACTCAATCTATCACTGAATAGACTAACTTTTCACTGCTGAACGTTTATTACAAATCACGTGTAAGAATACTTTAGGTAAATAAATGCCACGGAGCGAGCGCAACCCGACAAATGTAATAGTTACATGCGGTACACCACGGAGGGAGGTGATACACACGGTGCTAGCGATGACACTGCTGCTGCGTCGCAAATGTCTCTCTCAAAAACTGAAACATGTCACAAAAATGGCGTTTCCAATTTAGGTTATTTGATAATAATTATCATCAAAAACGGTTGTAATACACCGCCTAATTGTTAAATATTATAAAGCTACTTTAACGACGTTGTTTATATTGACGGTGATCTATCCAAACAGCGGAGAGAAAAAAAAAGTTTCGTTTGGCGAGCCATCGCCCAGTCAAGCCAAGCCACTGGATTTGTTCTGTTAGTCCTGTGGATAATGGCGGCGTGCTTGTAGTGCCAGTACAGATACGATTGTATTTTCTTCCCCAGCTATGGAGGTAAGACAGCTACATTTATTTATTTATTAAGATTACAGTCAAAGACTTCAGAACTTCGTATGAGTACTACAATGTGTTTCCGTCGCAGGTGCCAGCATGCCTAAAGCGAAGGAAAAGTCTTACACGCGCAAGAAAGCGTCATTGCAAACAAAGGCAATATTTCGGGATTTCGGATTTCAAGCCGGCAGCCAGCCGTCAACGTCTGAAGGAATCGGGAACTTCGAACAATGCAGTAGTGCGTGTGGTACACTACGCGCATGCAGTAACACATGCTGTGCCAGTGAGTGTGCGAGCATTTGCGTGCCAGGGGCTGACGAAAACACTGCGGCTACATCAGCAGCTACTCAGGCGGATTGCTGCAGCTCGGCGCCCCCTGAGGGCAGTTCACCTTGCGTCACCGAAAGTGACTCAACGGACACATCGCCTACAAAATGTTCACCCTGTTCGTCCACCGGAGCATCGCACACTGAACCCGAAGGCTCGCCAATGCAACTCAGCGATGTGCCTTCTCCTGTAAGCGGAGTCCCGGAGGTACCTGTTTGTTCATCTTCCACTGATGCATTGTCAAAGCACAAAGATTTTGTTGTGTCACTGCGCAGTTGGGTCATCAAAGAAAATGTTACTCATACAGCTTTGTCCGCTCTTCTAAAAATTCTCAAGGTCAGTACTTTCGATTCTTCATCTCTGCCTAGCGACGCTCATACTCTTCTCGCCATGCCTAGAGATACACAGCGTGCACCTGTTGTCAGTTCAATGGTACCGGGACATTACTGCCACTTTGGGCTACAGAAAAGCCTCGAGAATGCTTTGTAAAAAGCACGTTATGAAGGCAGTCATGTTTCTCTTGCCTTTAACATTGACGGGCTGCCAATTTCCAAACGCTCCACCATGCAGTTGTGGCCCATACAGTGCATGATTCGTGAAGATCGAAGAATACCACCCTTTGTAGTTGGAATTTTCACAGGCCCAGGAAAGCCTGCTTCAGCCAATGAGTTTCTCAACAAACTTGTCAGTGACCTGCAACAGCTTCTTTCCCAAGGAATGATTTTTTATGGGCACCTAATTGATGTTTCTTTGAAGTGTTTTGTTTTGGATGCCCCAGCACGATCATTTGTGTTTCAGATTAAAGGACATACAGGTTATTCTGGGTGTCCTAAGTGCACAGCTGAGGGTACATACAGAAACAGTCGACTCAGCTTCCCTACTACGTCATCCACTTTGCGTACGAATGATTCTTTCAGGTGTAAGATTGACTCTGACCATCACCGGGGCGCATCAGTATTAACATCACTGCCCATATACTGTGTGACCTCTGCACCACTGGACTATATGCACCTGTTGTGTTTGGGGATTGCGAAAAAGCTGCATAATGCTTGGCTAAGTAGTCCTTTAGACATAACGCCTTCGGCCTGCAAAGCGCAGACAATTCTCTCACCTTAATGTGTTGTTAGCACCATATGTAACGAAAGGTGCCCTGCATCATTGGCCGTGAATTCAAAGTAAAAGAAAACTTGTATGAGAAGCCATTTATTTCTGGCACCATTGATGTTTTTGTGGTTTCACAGCTTTCCGGTGTTAAATGTTGGCCATTAATAAATGTACGCAAGGTTGCTAGGTTACCCTGGCACGGAAAATTTGTTACTATTCCACTGCTTCATCTGTCTTGAGGGCACTAAAAGAATTGATTGCATTTAGGATAGATTACCCTTCAACAGTTTTTGACACACCGCTTTGCTATGAAGAGATGCTTTGTTTTCTTAAAGGGGAACTCCGGTGCATTTTCGACCATACTGAGATAATGCTGTTTTCAAATAGTATTGACAATCCTGCAAAGGCTAAGGTGGTTAATTTTGCCCAGGTACTCGTCAGTAATTTTAATTAAGCAATAAGCGACAAGTCAAAACAAAGACCAAAATGGGAAGCTGCTCTGTCATTCATGGTGGGTATCAGATGACGTCTCGAGAATTCGTCGCTGATGACGTCACGAGATCGGCTACACCCCGCCACGGCTTGCTAGGGTGCACACATAGCTCACATCCCTCTTCTGATGCGCGAAAAGCAAGTTGGCGATATCGACGCAGAAGCAAGCTGTGCCAGAGCGTCTGAACTTACTAGTGACAAGTTCAGCAATGATTGCAGCTACTATCTCAGCGCAGAAGCATCGCTTTTTGATTTCGACCCGCCGGCGCGTGAAGCATCTGAAATGCCCCGAATCGATTTTCTTGTTGCTCAATATTGTAAGACCGACATCAACGATGACGAACACGTTGTATACAGCTGACAAAACTGAACTGTGCTAGCGTTGTCACCTCGTAGAAGAAAGCGCACGTTGCATCTGTCTGCCGGGGAATGCAGGGTTTTCCAAAAAGAGTAGGCCCTTACGTCACATGCACAGGGTGGCCTGCGTTTACTAGTGTGATTGCAGAATCGGC